GTTAAACTCACTATGACAGCTTGCTTTTCTTTTCTTGAAGACCCAGGCCTTAACACATTATCCTACAAAAGTCTTAATTCAATGTTTACAATAGCTAACTTTCTATTCGTTTTAGATCGGCCAAATTTATGATACATTAGGCCTGTGTTTTATGTGTTATTTGTAAATTCTTGCCCATTTTATGGTACTGGGGTCATAATTTTACTAATTCAAATGATTTTAGAGGTTTATGGCTGTTGTATCTTGCTTGCATGACATATTGTTGGTTATATCTATGATTTATTTGCTGTTATGTCCTTGGTCAGGACACAACTCCCAATTATCCAACCAATTATAACATTATTTCATGGGAAAACTTCAGCAGCTGAAAACTGTTGACTAACTATAATCAAAAAGAGCAGCTTCATATCAGATAAATGAAAACTAAAATTTTGTTTTGGTCGACAATCACCAGTGTTCACAGGGCACGTCCTAAGTAGTTCCATCTATTGTTGATTTATTCTATGTAGTTTCCCATGCGGGATGGGGCCATGGTTACAGCTATTTTATGGTCAAAATGGCCAAGTGGTAGGAATTTTTCTGAACAATTTCCAAATTAAAAATAATTACTTTCTTACTACGAGATACAGTTATCTGGGTTCTGAAAGACTACATGTTCAGGCATTCAAGTATATCCAAAAAAGCTGACTTCATCATAGGCAGTTCACTAGTTTTCACAACAGAATACTAGTTTGTTCTCCATTAATTTTTACTTCATCAATATTTAATAATGCTGCTTAGATACTTGAAACTCTTGTCTTGTTAGAGAGCAGACCCTTGATCTGACTGCTCCTATCCTGCCAACCCCTGCAGTCCTTTGTGACCGGAATTGCTGGAATGTGGGAGACTAATGATTCTTCCTTTGATGGACATTGGAGATGAGAGCTGAGAAGATGGAATAATACTATACTACATTCCATTCTGTTGCATGTACATTGATTTTATAGCAATCCTGTTTTCAGAAAAGCTAACACGGGGGGAAAGTGTACATTTTTAGGCTAATAACATTAAATCATCCACAAATTCTTATTAATCCACCGAAGTAAACATACAATCTAAATTAGAACAATATATTTACTCTGTAAATGAAATTTCAAGATAATATCCCTTGCCCCATATTCTGATCATATATTTTTTTTAATTTTAGAAATTCTAGACAATCCACTGCAGGATGATTCAATGAGATATTGCCAACTAATGCTGCCTAATGAACAATTTTAAAGGCTGTGAGTGCACTATATAAGGATTTACTCTCTCATGTGTGACACTGTAGGCTGACTTGCAGTTCAGCTGAGCTAGAATGGACTCATCTCAGTGGCTTTGTTTTTGTTCAGGCTAGGGCTCAAGCTAAAATGGATAGCCCTTCTCATGGCAGATTACCAAAGAACAAGAGCAAAGCTAAAATGCACAAGTTCCTTTAAGACCTCTTTGTGTCATGACCACTAATATCCTGTAGTCTATGGAAAATAGGTCCATGTCTTGCTTCAGTGAGTCAAGAAAACAGATTTCACCTATACAAGAAAGGGAAAAAATAATATTTTTGAACAATAATCCAAATTATCAGAAAAATCTATGGCATTTGAAAATGAGACTAAAAACTAAATAGAAGTTTTCCTCCTAGTTATTTTTTTTAGCTCACTGTTGAGTTAACAAACAGGCAATATCACTTTGAGTGACATATATTACTCAAAGAACAAATCACATTCCCTTTGTCACAATGATGAGTGCATATTAGGGCAAGGCTGATAATGCCTTTTTTCCACCTTTCAGTTACATATAAAAACAAATATTTAATCCTGGACTCTATTTTGTCAATTAATGTCCATGTTGGACACTTTATGGATGGATCTTCACTGACAAAGAAATATTTACCAGGAGTCAAGTGCATTAAGTAATAGACCCTAAAACATGAAGCACTAAGCTGAGAAATTACAGTGTAAACATTTGAGAACTCTTTATTTGCAGCTGACAAGTTGGTGACCCAAGTCATTTGGTTTGTAGCAGTATCTTAAATCACTGAATCTCAGACATTAAAGCATATGCATATAGATATTGCTACATTACGGCATTTGGTAGGAGAAATGTAGGATACTGGAATATGTGAACCATCTTTTGTCACTTGTCAAAAGAAACTCATAAAGGTCCCACCAGAACTGAAATCAGAGTGGAAAGAAAGTATAACTTTGATGTTGGACATCTTTCTGCATGAAACTTAGAGAATAAGAAAGTCATAAACTGGATAATCTGGATCTTCGCAGGTTGGAAAAGTTTATTTTATACTTCAATAAAAATTAGTGCAATCCCAATAAGGAAAGCAGAAACTGTATTTGAATATTCCATTAAAATAAGAGGGAAACATTTTAAGATAACTGCCAAGCACCTCATTTTCCCTACATGACAAACAGGATGATGCCCTCTGTGTTAAGATGCATTTGGTTGCTGCCTCTGTGTCAGATGAGTTTTCCTTCCTCAATTATTATTTCCTATTTCTCTGGAGCAGTATAAAGATGAAGATCATTATAAAGAAGACTTCAGAGATAGACCAACCACTAATCTTATTACTGAGAAAAGAATTTCTCAGGCTGATTCCAATTTCAAGGATCATGACCCAACAAGATATCTGCCTTTGAATTTTACCAGCTTATGGAGTTTAGTATTTGGAACTGGATGAAATATGAAACATTTCTAAATGCATAGTAGGAATTGTCTATGAATATTTAGTCTCTAAGGAAACCCTCAGGACTCAGAAATATTGTCAACAAAAATAGGCTACTAATGGGATCACTTTCAACAATGCCATGCTCTGATATGGCCAGGGGAGACAATAGAGCAAAAGGATTCTACCAAAGAAAAGAACAGTTGATCTCAAGACTGGAGGAGCCATTCTATCAAACAGAAGCTGAGTGAGGAACTTATTCTTCTACTAGGATAGGAGGTCTTTGCTCTCCTGTCCAAATCTGTATTCATTGATTATTTCAACATATAACATTGTACCTACTGTGTTCCAGAAGTAAACAAAACAGAAGTTGATATGTGCATCAAATGGTAACTATTACTATTTCCCATCCAAGTGCCATTTTTCCCCTCTCTCCATCATTGTATATAGGGTGTATTGATACCTGGTTATGAGGATGGCACATCATTTAGTAGTCCTAAAACTGAAGTGTGGGTGATGATACTATCAAATGAGAGTTCAGTTCCTTTTTCTAGGGATTGAGTAAGCATGGTAGTTATGGATGTAGACAGTAAAGTAATTACTATATATAATAACATAATAGTCCTAAACTTGTATATGAATGTGAGGCAACCAAGAGGCAAATTGCAGTGGATGGTTGCTGTATGTTTTTCTATCACCTATTTCCCCTTATTTCGGTAATAGATCTAATATTTTGTTTGGGATTGCTCCACCCTCTCTCTTAGTCCACATAGTTGGGATGTGGATCCATTTACAAACCTAGGAATAGAGCATGTGACCCAGGCCTGAGCCAATCAGTGCTTTGAATGTGATTGCAGTGGTTGATTGAAGGATAGGTATGAACAGAGCAAGGAAAGACAAAGTGAACTCCAGGACTTTGACAATATTAGGAAAGCCCCTCACTAGTTTTCAGGAGATTTGAACCCAGGATTTTGAAGATCATAAGTTTCCAATAAATCTTATGATAAGGAAAGAGTCTTATAAGAATAGGACCAAGGGGTTGGGGTTGTGGCTCAGTAGTAGAGTGCTTGATTAGCCTGTGTGAAGCTCTGGGTTTGATTCTCAGCACCATATATTAATAAATAAAATAAAGGTCTGTAAACAACTAAAATAATAAGGTCAATACAGATGAAGAATGATTAGCTGAGTCCTTCTAACATAGGTGAGCATGGTGTCCTATCATAACTAAAAGTAAGTCTATCCTTGAATAGTTCTGACAAGTTGCCATTTTGTGATATTCTACTGTTTGATGATTTTTTTCAACCACTTAAAACAATTTTATGTAAGTGCATGTATTTTTATGATGTATAAAGAAAAGATAAAGATTTGCTAACTGCCACCTTTTGAGTGTCAAACTGTATCAGTTTTATCATTTTATTAATTAATTTCTCTGTATGCAGATATTATACTCTTAAAAATATCTACTTGTGAAGCTATTGACAAAAACATCAGGAGTCTAGAATAATTACAGAAATTAAGTCATATGATTTACTAACCATAACTAAGATTGCAAAAAGGCAGACACTGTTGGTTCAAGTAAATAAGGAGGCGTAAAAGATAAAAGAGAGCCCCCAGAGATTCAATTTGTTATGTAATCTTCCTGGCTAAGAAAATAGTCCAGAGAATATCATACACAACAATAAGCAATTATTCAAAAGACTATGTGAGTAACATCAAGGATTTCTCAATCATACAAAATATATTTCTCTTTTGAAGACTTTAGATAAAATTCATGACTGTCCATTATGTGGTACACTTGCTTTGCATCTTTGAACCTTCTAATCATTACAAAATAACTTTCCAATATTCCTTAAAATTTTTGAACTACTAAGTTCCTATTAGAGGAAGGGGCAGATCTAACACTCAATTTTTACTTTATATTAGAGCAGATAGTTTGCTCTTATTAAAAACAAAAATACTCCCCCCCACACACAAATAAAGAGCTACATAGGATGAAAAGTTTATTTTATCCTAAAAGTACAAGAGGAGAGGTGGTGTGATCCAAACAGCCATCAAAATTCCCTTCATCTTATGAATAAATCACCCTTTAGGGCTCTGCCATCACCTGTGTGATGCCAGTTCAGGCTGTTGTAGCAAAGTACTACCACATTCTATGTGGGAAAACAGCAAATACTTAGATTTTTAATAGTACTTGAGACTAAGAAGATCACTGCATGCTTAGAGCCCATCATTCTGGTTTACAAATCTCTACCTTGTTGCTGTATCCTCCCATGGCAGAGAGGAGAAACTGTTGTATCTTCATTTCTTTATAAAGACACTTAATTCCGTCATGGGGTCTTTATCTCATGACCTCATCTAATCGTAACAAGGAGGGAAATGAGACAGATGACATTTTTTGGTGCCCATCCTGGTTTTAAACCTCTTTCTTTAGGTCTAAAGTTCCATTCTTGGTAAACATAATTGCCTCCCAATGTCCCCACCTCCTAATACATTGGAGGTTAGAGCTTCACATTGAATTTGGGCTCAATACAAATATTCTGTCCAAATACACCTTTCCTTAGTCTTGAAGGTCTTGTATAGGAGTGACAGGCACTTTCCATTAAAGAAAACAGGTGGTCTTTGCAAGAGAAGATGGGACATTTTGCCAAGCTTTGGGCATAGAGATGGAATAAAATTGAGAAGAAATTGTACATTTTACAACACACTCAGCCACAACAACAGGATGCACTTAGATCCTTCACTGTCTGACTTTAGTAAGAAGCAGGGAAATACAGAGATTATTAGTTTATTAAAGCATCAAGTCTATGATTAAGAGAGTAGATCCAAACTAATGCAGTTTTAATTCACTTGTTTTATAAACTTTTCCTTTATCAGTCCTTACAGTTGTTGGTCATAGTGAATGCAGTGGAATCCACTGAGTGAGATCAGAATCCTGGAAAGAAGATGATTGTATTGAAAGGATATAACAAGAAGGGAAATGAGATAGATGATATTTTTTGGTGCCCATCCTGGTTTTAAACATCTTTCTTTAGGTCTAAAGTTCCATTCTTGGTGGTTCATACCTTTGTATTAAAAAAAAAAAAAAACCCAATAGCCAGAATATCTTAAGTGTTGCTTCCAGAGGGCTGGGTAATGCTTTCAATCTTTTACATCCCAATTTGATATGAATATGCTTTCTGTCCATGTCAGAAAGATCTGGTGTCTGAGATATTCTGAACAGATGAAAAAAAAATCCTTTCAAAAGTACAGGCAGGGAGAACCATCTACTTTCCTCACTCCAAGTCATCTTCCAGAATGGCTTATTTCATCATATGCCCTTAACTCCCTTGTAGGTACAGATAAACTCACGTGATGATTTCTACAGCCAGACCTTTCCTCAAGCTTCTCACCTGTTTGTCTGATGCCTACCGGACATTGTCACCTGAATGTCCCACGCCACCTTCACATTCTGCTTAATACTCAGTCGTTGCCCCTAAATAAGTTTCCTCCTGAATTCTATGGGTTATTTGTTGGTTTAATCATCTGCTCAGATGCTTGGGAGTTGAATATTTCCTCTCTATCATGTTTCCATTTAATCACTCAGAAAGTCCTTTTAATTTTACCTCCTAAATAACCCACCCCTGGGGGTTCTTAATTCACTTTGTATGATCTCTTAGCTGGAAGTGTTATAGTAATGACTGATGTGTCTCCTTGTCCATTTTCTTCTTCCCCACTGCCTCCTCTCCTCATGTATTTTTCCTAGGTAGTTGCTAGAAGTATCTCTCTGGCCATCTCACTTCCTTGTGTCAAGCTTTTCCATGAACATACACCAATTAACAAGGCTGCATACTTCCAGGGTGCACTCAGGCCCTTCACTGTCTCACTTCCTCTGCTTCTTTGTTCTTAGCTCTACAGCTCCTCTGCACCTTTTTGTTCTAGCATCACCTCTAATTCCCTGGACCATCCTGCTCAGTCAATGTTTGCTTGTGCTTCTTTATTCCCATGTGTATTTTTTCAGTGTGTTGCCTACTTTTCCTTTGTAACTCAGCTCCAGAGCAACTTCTCTAGGGGTATCGATTTGACTGCCTTCTCCCACCTCCTCTAATTGGCTAAGTGTCCTTCTATTGCTCCCACAGTCTCCTATATACTCCTGATTCCACCCCCTTGTGACTTTGTATTGAGATTTTTGGTATGTCTTGCTCACCTGCTGGACTGTCATTTTCTTAAGGAGTACTCTTTGGCCCTAAGTGCCTAAATCTGGCATATAAGATACCCATAAGAAAATCATTCTTCCTTTGATTTGGCATCATGTGTAGAGAAAGCATATGTCATATGCAGGAAAAATGACAAGGATGAGTGAGATTAAAAAAAAAAAAAACATCACCAGAAGCTCTGGAAAGTTCAACATTTCCTAGCCCCTGCTATCTACCTGCCAAATAGAAAGGGCTGAGAGGGCAGGTGTAACTTTTCCACGAACAACTGGACAAAGGACTCCTAACTCTACCCATCTCTAATCCGAGCAGTTGAGCCATTTCCTGTTTGCATGTGGTCGTGTCAGATCTTCAGAAGTGAATTAAGCTTCAGTTTTGTTATTAATTGGTTTTGTTTCTTCTCTTTCCCATTTATGTAGGCCAGAATCTGCAAGAAACTATCAATTGGAAAATCTTCTGTTTGGTCTCAGGGTGTCTCTGGATACCTAGATAGAAGAAAAAGGATGACTTGTCTTTGAATATTCTCATAGAAAAAAGGAGAAATAATGTAAGAGAATGTGACCAAGAAGTAAGTGAAGGATAAGCAAGTTTAAGCTTTAAATACTTAATGTTTTTGTTTTGAAATGCCAAGCATGTTCATTTGAATGATGATTAAATTGCAGACCTATTTCTGTGAGTGGCACTTCTGCTACACTTGAAGGTAAGATTTCCCAGCTGGAAGTATACAGGTTGGTGTTGATCATCAGGGTAACTGTTTCTGGGTTGGGCAACATTATATCAATCTCCTACCCTGCATTGTAAGGTGGCCATTCTTGCCACCTTTCTGCATTTGCCAGTGCTCGAAATACAGCTGGAAGTGCATTAACATGGATATAAAATATTAGTCTTGTAAGACTGATAATTTCTGGCAAGATGAAATTTTCAAATTTTCAACAAGAAGACACTTTTAGGAAGAGTGTTGGGTCAATTTGTTCATATATTTTAGAGACTTTCTAAAAATAAGGAGATATAGGTTCCTGAACCCTGTGTTTTCAAATGTCAAAGTTGTTATGATCTGTCAGGGTGGAAAGATTTTAATAAAAAGGAACTTCAAGATGTCTTTAAGAGCATCTCCATGGAGCTAGAGAAAGGCAGGGTATGAATTTTACCCCTAGACTAAGGTGGGTCTTAGAACAGTGGTTCTGAGGCAGGGATGGAACTCTGACCAGTCCTGGATGGAGTGAGGGGGAGTTCCTGGTCTAGGGGAGAGGAGTTGGTATGGAGAGACAAGGCTTAGTATGGGCTGAAGCCCTCACCTCTGAGAGTCACCATAGCCACAGGAGTCTCAACTTTCTCCAGTGGCAAAGAAGGAACCTGCTAGTGAGAACAGCACAGTCAGGGGCCTCTGTATATCTCTGCTGTCATCTGCTGCAGAGGCCTTTGTCTGCCCCAAACTTACATATTTGCCAGGATAGTAGTTGTATTCTCCTGCCTTTCAGGGAAGCCCCACTAGAAAGTGATGTTGCCCTTGCATTTGAGAAATTATGTGTGGGCATGAAGAAGGGAGGCTCTAGCCTGAAGAATAGGACCATCTCAAAATAAGGAGTGGCAGCTTCAGCCTTTTCCTTAGGACATTAAAATCAGATATTACTATTTTTTCAGTCCAACCTGGAGAAGTTGTACATATCCATAAAGTGAAAATAAATCTTTAAGGGGTAAGCTAACTTCAGATTCCAAGGAAATTCAAGATGTTCCTAAATTATCTCAGATATGTTAGGAGGAGCAGGGGTGGGGGAGGACAGGAAGAGGAAGAAGGACGGAAGGAAGGAGGAGGAGGAGGAGGAGAACAAAAAGAGGAGGAGAAGGAGGAGGAAGAGGAAGATGAGAAAGAAGGAGGAGAAAGGAGGAAGAGAAGGAGGAGGAGGAGGAGGAGGAGGAGGAGGAGGAGGAGGAAGGAGAGGAAGGTGAAGAAGAACCTTCCTATTTTGTCCCCACTTGGATTGTTTCCTTATGGTCATCCTTACCTTTGAGGTAAAACACCTGATTTTATGTCCTGGTTTAGAGGGATAAGCTCCTTCATGTGTAAGTTTAGCATTTCTCTGAATTGAACTGTTTTTTAGACTTAATGAAATATTTGCCACATACCACTAAATTGACCAGAGGACAGCAGAGGTTGTTTCTTGTGGCCTTCCTGGCAGTAGAAGCACCAATATCCCAGCCCTAATTTCAAGGACCCTTCGGCCCTTTGACCAGTGCTTGCTAAGACCCAGCCAACTCTGAAGAAAACACATTTTCTCCTTCGGGTTGGTCTTGCAACCTGCCCCAGAGTTTATGCCTCAGGACTCCATCCTGGCTCATGGAGTAGGGTTCTTGGACATTGTCAAAGAGTCAAAGACAGGAGCCTCTAGCAAAATCTAAATCACATATCCAAAAGAAAGCAAAAACACAAGATTCCATAGTTTTTAAGTCTTAGACAACAGCCTCTTCTCTTGAAAGAAATCTACTGGTATATTCCACATTGTCCGAAAAAAAAAAAAAATAGAGTAGAACTCAATGAGAGGCCTAGCAAGCTTTGTCTTTATGAGTAGAAAGGTACCCTTGGCCCTTGCCTCAAGTGGGAGTCAACCACATTCTGATATCATGAGTGGAGACAACCTTGCAGCAAATCCCACAAGCTTGGCTTTCTCCCTCTGACATTATCCTCTGCAGGCATCTCTCCCTTACCTGTATGTCCCAATCATATTGATTGCTCTTTGGCTGTTTTACACAGGCAACACAAAGTAATTACTAACAGAGGAGGCTTGCCTCCTGACCTATCTTAAATATGACCAATTCTTAGCAGCAGGACAGTCCCAGGATAAGCCTTTGGGTGCAGCATTTCACTTGTGCTCCTGGGAAGACTAGAAAGCTGAGATGGCATGCAGAAGTAGATGTCATTGTCGGCTCTCAGGATTCAGCTGGAGACTCTATAAAATAGGAGTTTAGGGAGGCTCCTTAGCCAGACAGTATGAAGAAGAGAAGAAAGACAGAAATAATAGTTCATGTAGGGTATGTGCCCTGTGGAGATTTCATGTGGGAAGTTATGACCTCCTGATACTCTGCCTGGTTTTAAAAACATTGTAGTTCTTGGCAAGAGAGAGTGTCAGAGGACCTCATAGGACTGCCTGCTCTTTGTGTTGAAGATATTATGAACAGGAGACCTCTAATATCTGGAAATGCCCTTTGAGAATCAGAAAAAGTCATTAAACAGTTTTCGCTAGAATTCTCTCTCAAATAGTGATTTGGATCTTATCATTAATAATCGTTAAAATCATTACCAATGATTTTGCACCCTTCATTCATTCATTTAGAGCATATAAAGTACTTAGCCAGAGAGTTATTACTCAGTAATTGAGAGCCCTTGGTGAAAATAAAAATGTTCTTTTACTTTAAGGAAATAGAAAATAATTTATGGCTTGAGGAAAAATATGCACAAGCCCCTCTAAGTGATCTTCTCTAAGGTGCAAGAACAGATCAATCAAGGTTCTTTGGGGGGACTGCTATGGTTTGGGTGTAGTTTATCCATGCCAAAACATACATCAAGGCTTAATTCCTCAATGCAACAGAGTTAAGTGGTGGGGTCTTTGAGAAGTGATTAGGTTATGGGGGTTCTACCCTCATAATAAGATTGTCTTTCTAGAGACTGGGTTAGACCTCTTAAAGCTGGATTAGGTATTTGAGTGTGAGTGGGTCCCATGAAACTGTACTAGTTACTAAAGTAGGTAGTTATAAGGCAAGGTGACTGCTGGTGCTTTGGTTTCTTTGGAAAGCACTTGCTTGCCACTCTGCCATGTGAAACCATCTATCATGTTATAATGCAGCATGAGGCCCTTGCCAGATGTGGTCAGCCAATCTTAATTTCTCTGCCTCCAGAACTGTGACCTAAATAAACTTCTCTTCTTTATAACTTACCCAGACTTGGGTAGTTTCCTTTTTTTTTTTTTTTTTTTTTTTTTTTTTAGTAGCAACATGGAATATACTAAGCCAAGGACCATCAACTTCTCTAGTCCTGCATTTTTCTCTACTCTACCATCATTGCTATATTCTTAGCAAATTATGTCACTTGGTGTGGCAGAACCCACTTAAGTTATCTTCTCTAAGTGAGTCCTTACTACTTTTCGCTCCTTCAAAGTCAGTTAAGTCATTCTGAAGGCCACAGATCTTGAGATCTCTGACCTGTGAAAGGAATCTTCCTTCTGTTGATGATGACATATCTCATTTAGTGCTATGGTCTGAATTTTTGTGTACCACACACAACTCATATAGTAATACCTATTCCCCAGTGGAATGTATCAAGGGGTGGGACATTTGTGGGGTGATTAGATCATAAGGACAGAACCCTAATGCATAAGATTAGAGTCCTTATAAAAATAAAGGCCTGTAAGGCCCCTCGACTATGTGGATATATAGAAGGTGCTATCGACCAGGAATGGACAGTCACTAGACATCATATCAGCCGGTGCCTCAAATTTGAGCTTCTTAGCCTCCAGAACTGTGAGAAATAAACACCTATCATTTGTAATTTATCCAGCCTAAGGTATTTGTTATAGCATACCAAAATGACTAAGACATTTGGTCTTCAGCCAATGTGGCCTAGCTATTTCAGTTCTCTATATTAAACTCTACAGAAAGATCCCCTAGGACTGATTTGAATAATTAGCCCATTCATCATCCGTGTGGGTCTAAATATTTCAGCTCTCTGCTTCACCTAGATATGCATTATAGGGCACACTTCAACAGAGAGGATCACCTCTGGGGTTCAAATACACAGCATTGCGTAGAACACAGGCTACATGCCAAGAAACTCATAATCTAAGATTTAGATGATGTGAACATAAGAAGGAAACATAGACATTGTTTGTTAATCATTAAGTCTGTGTTATCAGCAGTTTCAGTAAAGTCAAAGTGAGTTTTTTTTTTGCTTATAGATTCTGTGATGCTTCCACTTTGTTTTGTGTACCATAGTACATTTATTTTCACTGTAACATAATATTCTATTGTAAATATCACAACTTATTTATCCAATATTTGGTCATATATATATATTACACTGCTATGGAGATTCCTGAACATGGCACTCAGCATTCTACGTGTATGTTCTCCTAGTTAGTGCATATACCTGAAACTTTTTGTGGTCTCAGTTTCTAGAAGGCAGAGGTGTATAACACGTCACAGTTTGCAAAGCTTTATTAATGGTGTCTTTGGGTTATGAGAGCAAGCTTCCAACTTTTCCTGGAAGAAAAAACTTTTAAAAAGTGAATCCTGACTTTCTCTTCTTCTTGAAGATTTTCTAACTTTCTGACAATGTCCAAATGTCAACATTCACATTGAGGATGGTTTCTCATCTTATGAAATGAACTCACATGCTGTTTCCTCATGTAAAGACTGTTTTCTGCATGAGTTTTACATTTTGAGATTCTTGAAGGGGAAGGAATGAGTCTTTTCTGACTTACTCTTTAATATGTCCAAAAGAATACAATCATGATGCATTCATTTTTCCCCAGTTTTCCACATGTGTGTCATCTTTCCATAGATAGCTAATGTGACAAACCATGGCATGATTTCAATGTTTTGTGAATTACCATGTTTACTTCCAGTTCTGCCACTCTCTGTTCTGCAAATCCATTCAGAAAGACCTCAATAAGTATACCCATGAGCAAAGAACAGATCTTTTGAGCTTTCCCTTTGCATGAATCTGGTGAACCCCCAGTTGCATATGGGGAACAGGAAGTAATTGAACCAAAGACCTACATAAGGAAACTAGATAGTTCCTTATCCCCTTCAAATGATGTATTTGGTGCTTTGCTTAATGCACAGTATTTAGGGAATCTCAGCAGAGTCATGATAAAAAAATAATAATATTAATAATAATATCAATGGAAAAAAGCAAGTAAATCAGGCTGAAAGAGAAGGGAATGGAAAGAGAAGGTCCTAGACAATAAGATTGATCAAATTACATTTGTGTATATGTGAATATGGAATGATGAATTCCATCAGTATGTATAAGTATACTGCATCAATAAAATAATCATACCCCAACCAAAAACTCTGGATGAATTTTAATTTTAAATTTTTAACTTTGTTGTTCATTCTGTTAATTGAGAACCAACTATTAGTGATCAGTAAATTCTATCAACTACAGTGTTATACTTTCTAAACAGGGCCATACATGTTATATAATATTTCAATAATACTAGAAATCTTGAGTCTTATTCTTCCTGGCTTATAATGGAAAACATAGAAAAGAAATGTTTAGGATTGAATATGGTCATTGATTTTAATGCTTGTTTAGTGTTATTTAGCCAAACATCCACAAATGGAGAAAAGATAACTTTTAGGTACTAAATCAGTAGATTTCCTAAAATTGCTATTGGAAACCAGAAGGTTACCTAAAGAGCAAAAATGAAAATTGTAATCAAGCTATCAGAGAGTTTCTAGATTCAAGTAGTTTACTTTATGTCATTGACTGAATGATTGTGAACCTCCCACCCTAAATTCATATGTTGAAGCCCTAATCTCCAAAGTATGTTATTTGGAGATGTGTTCTTTAGAGATAATTGGGATTAAAGAGTACTTAGTATAGATGAGATTAGTGTCTCTTCTTAAAAGTTCACTAATATTTCTAGCTTTCTCTCTACCATGTGAGGGAGTCCTTGCCAGGAAGCAAACCAGTTGGCACCTTGATCTGTAATTTCCCAGCCTCTAGAAACAAATTTCTAAGTTCACAGCAATTTTTTATAGGAGTCCAACCAGAAAAATACACTTTTGCATTCTATCTTTCAAGGCCAAATACTAGTTTAAGCTCAATTCCAAGACTACTTTATTTTAATAAGCTGCCAGGCCTCTTATAAACCTAACTGTGCCTACAGGTCTCTGAATGAATCATTGGTTATTTCATTGTTGATGAAGAGATCATGTGCAAAATCTGTGTGTGGGAAAAGTTTTATTTTATGATGGGAAAACAGTGCCAGAGCCATAAAAAATTTGTATTTATTTATTTATTTATTTATGGTACCAGGGATTGAACTCAGCAGTGCTTAACCACTGAGCCACATCCCAGCATTCACTAAGTTGCTTTGGGCCCTGCTAAGCTGCTGAGGCTGGTCTTGAACTTGTGATCCTCCTGCTTCAGTTTCCCTAGTCTCTGTGATTGCAGGACTGCACCACTATGCCCATCCCAGAAAGAATTTTTTTAAATATTATTAAGAACTTGTGTATATGTAGCATGGCAAAATAATCAACTGTTCCATAGTTTTAGAAATGAAGAGAAAAATGTAACTGCTTAGTATCTCATCCTATTCATGAGTGCCCACCCAACTAATAATTGAAAAGTAAATAAAATTGAATTTTAAATTGTTACTTTGGGATGTCTTAATCCTGTGGTATAAGCCCAGTAATATGGGTTCCCCCCCCTCTCTCTCTTTCTCTCTCTCTCTCCCCACCCCCTCTCTTTTTTTGCCCTGGATCTGTATGGCCTGTGAATATTGGTAGTACAGAGTGGTGGAAGAAGAGACCTTTTAACTGTACAATATCTTGTATTCTTGCTCTTGTTCTCTGTATTAAGAATGTGTCATTTTCCCAAATATATACCTACTTATAGATTTAATTGTATTTATCTTGTTCATTATTCACAGTATGCTTTCACTATAAAAATGCAATTCTTCAATTATGAACAATACTCAAATTTTATTTTCCAACATTAATTCCACTTCTTTTATGAGAAAAAACTTTCATTAGATATATGTTGTAACCTATTGATCTATTTAGCATAGCTCTTTACTACTCTTTGAATTAAGTTTTAAAAAGCCCTTTATTTCATTTTGGTGAATTCCTCAATAATATCTTGCACTAAATCTTCACTTTGATTCTGTCAGATATAGAGATATTTTTATATTAGTGAAGACATTTTCTTATTTTCAATGATTCTTCTGTATCATTATTATTTTGATACTTTCTGTCTTTTTTTTTTTTACATTTTTAATGTTAAGTGCTCCGATGATTATCTTTCAGAATGGAAAAACTGCCATTTTAAAGACTAAGTAAAAGTATGAAGAAAATGACCGACAGATGTCATCGGGAATAAAATTATTTATTGACTGATTCTCTTCATCAGGTTAAGATGTTTTTATATGCGCTCATGTAAGTCTAACTTATTAAAATTGGAGATTGAACTCACATACCACAAAATCATGCTTTATATTGTACAATTCAGTGGCTTTTAGATTTCTTACAAAGGTGCACAAACATGAGTGTTATTGAATTTGAGGACATCTTCATCACCCCAAAAAGAAATCTCATGGCACTAGCAGTCACTCCAGTTCCCTCCTGATCTCAGCTCCCACATTTTCTTATTCTATTTCAGAAAAATTGAATCATATAATATGTGACCTGTGTTTGGTTTCTTTCACTTAGCATAATATTTTAAGGTTCATTTATGCTGAAACATGTATCTGTACTTCATTTACTTTTATGGCTAAATAATATCCCAATATGGACATACACATTTTGTCTATCACTTGATGGACATGTGGTTACTACCACTATTTGACTATTATGAATAATTGTGACATTAGCAGTCATGTATAGTTTTTTAAAAGAATGTTGTTTTTAACTTGGGGGCATGGTCTATGCCTAATAGTTGAATTGCTAGTCCATATGGTAACTTACAGTTTATATATGTAATGTCCCCCTAAGACTTGTGTGGCCCCATGTAGCAATGTTCAGAGGTGGGACTTTTAGAAAGTGATGGGATTGTGAAGGCTTTGACCTCATCAGTGGATTGATCCACTGAAAAATGAATAGACCACTGGGATATGGCAGAGGCTGTGGGAGATAGGACCTAGTTGGAGGAAGTAGGTCACTAGGAGCATGTTCTGGATGGATATTTCTTGTCCCTAGCCTCTTTCTCTTTCCCTCATGTGGTAGCCTTCCCACCCCACCCTTCTCCTTTCCAGCTGTTGTGAGCTGAGCAACTTTCCTTCATTACATCCTTCTGCCATGATATCCTGTCTCACCGCAGGCCCAAGGCAATGGAGCCAGTCAACCATGGACCATGAAACTGAGGACTGTGAAACTGTGAGTTAAAATAAATCTTTCCTCTTCGTAAGTTGTTATTCTCAGGTATCTGTCACAGTGATGAAGAGCTAACATAGTAACTCAGTATTTAAATTTTTCAGTAGCTTTGAAACTAATTTTCCAGAGTGGCTGTGCCATTTTATATTTCTTTCAGCAGTTTATGTGAATTCCACCTTTTCTGCCTCCTTAATAGCATTTGCTACTGTCTTTTTAATTAGAGTTATCCTAATGGGAGCCAACCACTATATTCTCTAGTTTTGATTTTTATTTCACTGATGGCTGAAAAAGGTGTTATGTCTTGGATAAAATTGGATTTTTTTTCCTTCTTCTTCAAAACTTTCTGCTTGGAGTAATCAATCCACTTGAATTTATTAGAATTGCTGGTGAGATACAATTTATATCTTATTGCTTTTTGTTTTTCCTGTCATATATATTTTGATTGTTTTTATTCCTCCATTGCTGCTTTCTTTTATGTTAACTATTTTTAGAGTATAATTATAATTCCCTTGTATTTTCTTTATTTTTTTTTCAGTTTTGGGGTGTCCCAGGGTATTATCAGTTGGCCCTGTTGCTTTTAGGCCTGTGGTGAGGTAGTATAGAACAGGAAGTATACAATGGAGCAAAATCATTAATCTCACAGCCAGAAGGTTAGAGAGAGAGGAAGGGACTGGGGTTCCTCTACCCTCCTTCAAAGACATGCTCACAGTGACCTAGGGACTTCTTACTAGACCACACCCTTTAAATCCTGCTACCTCCAAAAAGGCTGGGGACCAATTCTCTAACACATGATCCTTTAAGGGGCACTTAACATCCAAATTATAATATCAAGTTAATTTAAATAATACACACAAACTTTCCTCTTACATGACTCTATTCCTTCCCTCTCTTTTGTGCTATCAGTTTCATAAAATTAAATTTTACATAGGATTTTCTCAACAACAGAGTCTTATAACTATGACTAATTTATAGAATTTTCTTTCAAATCAGGAGGAAAAAATATAAACAAAAACGCATTTGCACTATTTTTTATATTTACTTACATGCTTGTTTTTACTAGTGTTCTTTATTTCTCATGTGGATTTGAATTAGTTGTATTTTTTTACCTATGAATTTCATTCTAAAGTGTTCTACTTACTATGCCTTATATGGCAGGTTTGCTAATGTCACAGTCCCTCCCTTGGATTTTAATGTATCTGGGAATGTCTTCATTTCTTCTTTTATTTTAAAGAAAAATTTGTCATATCTCTAAGTTTGCCAATTCTTCCATCTTCCGTTCTGCTCTTGCACCTGTGTGTTTAATTCTTTATTTTAGTTCTTGTATTTTTAAACTCGAGTTTCTATTTGGTTCTTTCTTATGAATTTTAGTCTATTGATGTCCTCTAATAAATTTACTTTAGTTTTTTAGAAAAAAATTTCATTTTGTTATTTGAACATATGTAAATTATCTGATTACAATTTTTTAGTAAGTCTGATGCTTGGTTTTCCTCAATCACAAACTCTATTGGCTGCTTTTGTGCCTGTGTATGAACCATACTTTATTGTTTCTTTGCATGTCTCATAACTTTGTATTGAGAATTACACATGTAAACTAATACCGTGTAGCAACTCAAAATCAGACTCTAACTCCTCCCCAGAATATGTTTTGCTGCTGAGTTTTGGTATTGTTGCTGTTGTTGTATAATGATTTTCCTAAATGATTTTTATCAAATTTATGGTATAGTTTGTATCTAGAATGTTGCCCCAAAGCCCATGTTAAAGGTTTGGTCATTAGCCATGGCTCTTGGAAGTGGTAGAACTGTTTTAGTCAGTGTTTTCACTGTTGTGACTAAAGGATCTGACCAGAACAACTGTAGAGGAGAAAAAGTTTACTTAAGGGTTTATAGTTTCATAGGTCTTAGTCCATAGAAGGCCAGCTCCATTCCTCATGGCTCGAGATGAGGCTGAACATCATAGTAGGAGAGTGTGGTAGAGGGAAGCAGCTTACATCATGGAGATCAAGTAGCAGAGAGAGACCTCACTCTCCAAAATGTACATAATGTATACAAAATATATACCCCATATATATAAATCCCCAAGGAACCACTTTCTCTAGCCATACCCCACCTGCCTCCAGTTACCACTCAGTTAAAACCATCAGAGATTAATTCACAGATTGGCTTAAGACTCTTACAACCCAATCATGTCTCTTCTGAATCTTCTTGCATTTCTCACACATGAGCTTTTGGGAGATACTTGACATCCAAAACATAAAACAAACCTTCCAGCAGGGGTCCTAGTAGGAGATCTTTTGATCATTTGGGGTATGACCTCGAAGGACATAGTGGGACTCCAGCACCTCTGCCCATGAACTGAGCAGTTTTTCTCTATCATGTATTCTCTGCCATAATGTGTCACCTCTCCACAGGCCTCCAAACAACAGGGTCAACTAACCATGGACTAAAGCCTTCACTATGGTGAGCCAAAATAAACCTTTTCTGATTGTAACTTGATTATTTAGATATCTGTCATATTAATAGGAAGTGAATATATTCTATATTCTTTGTCATGCATAGCCACTGAAATCTCTGCTCAAATAGTTTAACAAATTATTAGAGATTTCTTTAAATGCTCCATTTCCAAGCCTTTTCCAAAAGACTTTCTGGGTGTGCTGAGAGACATCATCAGTGCTCAGATAAGTAGTTTACAACTCAAACTTAACCTTCACTTATTGCTTCTTTAGAGTCTCAAGTTCAGCCATTATTGTCTTGGTGAGATCATAAAGAATAGCAGTAGGAATGTCTGAGCTTTCCTGCTATATCCTGCTATATCCTGATAATCCTGATATATATATATATATATATATATATATATTATCAGGTTAGCCAATATTCTGCTAGCCAGCAAAGCCTCCAATTATGGAAAAGAATCAACTAATGCTCTTCCATTCTGTATTTAGCCAAACACAAGGCATAATGTGCCATTAGCTGGTTTGCTTCATCAGAGAACCCCTCTGGATATCTTAGAGTTTTTCCTTGTGTCCTGTGATGTTGCACAAGAAACTAAATGTCAAACAGAACAGAATTTTTGTAGTTTAGTTCTCTATTTGTTATTGTCATGCCATTCCTTTTCTGTGTGAAGACACCAGCATGGCTATATCTTTAAAGAAATTGCTACCTATGATCGTGTTCCAAGGTAGTTGCAAGATAAACCACAAAAGAAATTTTTTAATGGGTGACTTTCTCCATCATTCCATGATTCATTTCACTTGGACTATAACCTACAGACATATTTAGTGTCAACTCTGGCAGCATCTCTGCTCCCCCAGAAACCTTTGATGCCTCATTGCCCAATTGCCTGTGATGACCGTTAGATTTGGAGCCCTTTGTTAAGTGGGGAAAAAAAAAAACTATTCCACAAAGGGTCATAGCACCTCATTTGTACTCCCTGCCTCAAAAGTTGCTTCTCACAGGGGTCTCTACAATTTATTTAGAATTTGGGACTTTCAATGTAAAGATCTCATGTTTATGCCTGTATTTTGTTCCCTAGTTTATTCATGCATCAGCCCAGACATCTAAATGACAAAATCGTATATGTAAGGAGAGTCCTATTAGTGCCATCAGAAATTTTCTGTTTTGCTTTTGAGTCCAAACAATATGCTGAACATTGCAACACCATTTCAGATACTATAAATATTTTCAAATGTCCCATAGGTTTTAGAATGTTGGATATTCAGAAGCATACACTGTAGTGAATCAAAAATATATATTTTACAGAGAAACATTACAAATATGTGGCACATCAATTTGGCAAATTTTGGAGTGTCCTTTTCCATTTGTTGTTCTTCTAATCTTCCTCATGACTCTAGATATTTTCCCCATCTTAATAAAATCTTCATCATTACATGCCATTTATGTTTCTTTTTGTATACTCTCCCATACCAGCATAATGAGTCTCTCCCAGAACATAAAGCATCAGTCTACAATATGTATATGTTTCAGTTTGACACATACTTACATCACTGGTAAGCAGGCAGATGTGAAAAGTATTAACTTACCACAAGGATTTTTGAAGCTGAGTGTTTATTCTTGGGAGATTTGAATACTTGCTTAAGAAGGGGGAAAAAAAAGAAACCCCACCATGCACATACACACGATATTAGGCAATAACACTGTCGTGGTTTACTGTAACGGAAATGTGAATCCTTCCTCCCTAACCCCCTGCCCCACACCCCTGATATCAGGTCACTTTAAACTACATAGTGGATTCAAAATATTTAGAAATACTTGACGAATCTTGAATGGTTTCAAACTGGAGTAAAGTTCACCTAATCTAATTTAAATGTCCTTTAAAGGTTGAACAGCTTGGCCACATGTGGGAACTGTCCAAGGGAAAGCTCTGGAGGCAGAGGAGATCACACACAGCATCCCACCCTGCCCTCCTAGGAAGGTAAGAGAGTTTGTCCAAAGACTTCCTCACACCCTTGAGTCTTTGGCCACACTCCCTCACCGTCAGAACTGTCATCTGTTTCTTGTTCTTCTCTTTTGTTTTCAATTACCTGCCTTCCTGGTCGTGGCTTCTGCAAGTATGGACTTCATCTCACACATTTTATTGCTGAAGAGGGAGGGGAAGACTCAGAATACCCAGATCTTTTGCATTTGCTTCAAATGCAGTTAAAATCTAAGATAGGAGACAGGTACAATACTTGTACCTTTTGTATCAAGTGGATAATGTTGTCTCTGGATCCTTCAGATCAAGTGCTTTCCAGGCCAGTAGGCCATGTTCACTAAGAATCCCCAGCCTCTACTATGTGGACTCCTTCAAAGAACTACACACACACACACACACACACACACACACACACACACACACACAGCAACTCAGAAATACAGTGAGTTCTGCTTGAGCAGGAGCACACTTGTGTTACTAGTGAGAAGTTCTAGGTTGTAAAATAAATCAGTGCCATGAAAACAGCATGTGATTCAGTGGGAAAGGGTGGGTGATTTGGCTCTTCCTGGGCTGATTGCACAATGGCTCCAGGTTGACTTTTGATAAGGAACACAGTTGAGTTCAGTGTTCTTATTAGATAGAAGTGTCACGGATCAGCTCCTGGAAACTGTTCTACCCTAATCTGCCAATTTATTTATTTTCAAATCCACATATCACTCTTTTAGGCAGGTTTCCAGGAGGATCATCTGGAGATAAGTTTATTTCTAGCTCCCTCCCCTTATAATAACGGCCAAGAAGAAGATGACCAAACCAAAGGAATTGTATTTTAAACATCATCTGCACTTTTTCTGAGAATTCCACATAACATTTTTATGCTATCCCACCCTTGTACTTTTATAAGTTTCCTCTTCCAAGCTATGCCATTTCAAAATGTACCCAATTATTAATTATTTACACATGTTGTATTATGCTTATTTTACTTTCAAGTATTTCGTTGTTTGTACCCAGAAGCAAGAGAGATTTTTGGCAGATATAAAGATATCATTGGCTGCCCAAGTGAAGATTGTCACCAAACTCTTTGGCCCACCAAACAACAATGGAATGTATTCTATTCCAATTCAGCTTTCTAATGAGATAAAGATAAATGTTCTTTGTTGATTTTTACCATTCCCAATTTTGACTCCTTCCAATGCAAGTAATGTATTGTCTACTTGTATATTAGAATTCAATTAGTCTTTTAACATCTATTTATTCTCTGATTTTAGGAATGAAAATACATTTTCTGTAACCTGAACAGCAGGTTATGCTTTCCAGGAGTCAATTTGTTTTGTCTTTTTCTTCAGAGAACTGTGTTAAATTAAATGGAATACTCCTTTCCAAGCTTATTTCCATATAAAATTTAATAATGCTAAATGGCATTCTATGGGATAAATATGGGGAAATATTACTTACATAGATATGTCTTCTAGTATGAAACTTTCTAGTTTTATGCAATCATCAATGTGTGCTTGTTCTTCTCACTCTTTCTGGTGGGATAAATACACCTGCATGATCTATAAGCAGTTGGAAATCATAAAGATTAAAGTTAAAAATAAGAGAGGTCACACACAGTGAAGTTTTATGCTTTTAAAGTTTTGATTCTTCAAGCAGATGTCTAATACAGATTTAGACCACGCATTTACATGAAGTTAACATCAATCCTGACTAATTCCTTCATCAGCAAGGGCATTCTGGATTTATTGAAACTAGTTGTCTTTCCTTCCTTGGAGGTAATTGTTTCTCACTCTTGAGGTGATGTCTCTCAGCCCACTGAAGGCCAAATGGAACAGGTGGGTTTGGGAGCTTCAGAAAGACTTTCACCTTCTACACAATGTTTCTTGTCATGAAGATCTAAAATGTCTTATTGTTTCTCTTTCAAGAATGCCTTCTCTATTCATTTCAATCAATCACTCATACATTGAAGCAGATTTGTATTGCTATGTTTGAATAAACTTGGATATTACATATCTAGTTCTCGGTTGAAAATGTCCTTCCAGGGAGAAAACAAGCCCCATGAAGGTTAGAGGAAAGTATATAATGGGAAACACGAAGGAACCTCTTAAAATTTAAAATTAATTTTAAACATTTTATTGTATCCTAAAGAAGTATAGCTGATCTTTGTCAGGATGTTGTTTACCTGTGAGTTAAGGGATAGGCTTGAGACTTGGATTCCAGAGAGGGGTTCAGATATGCACAGTTCAGGTAAATGCCTCAGATATCACAAGTACGTAGCTCCCTCTTATTGGAACTTGGTCACTTCACAAAACTCAGACTAGGAAAGATAGACAAGAATAGGCATCACTGAGTGAGAAAGCTCTGCCCCAAAGCTGTTCCATCTGAATCTGGGCCACTCATGAAAATGATTCCATCTGGATGGGCTTCTTCTCTGTTGGCAAAAGGGGAATGTTCAATTCTTTCTTTATATTCTGGACACATTTTCCAATGATAAGTTATGTCTACATTCACCCTCAGAACCTTCCTCAGTTGGAAAATAAGAGAAGAGTAACAGCTACTCACTCATCACTTGATTACAGTAAATCCACATCCAATTCTTGGTTCAGACTTTCTGGCCTAGGACAATGAATCTGCCTTCAACCACCTCATCACATCACTGGCCTTCCACATCCCCACTGAAAAGACAATATTGAAACATTTATTTTCCAGCTATAACAAAAGTGGTCTAAAAGGTAAGCACTCCATTCATTCCCCCAACGAAGCTAGACTGACAGAAAGATGATGACTTGGGCTTACAAATTGTCTCAATTTGAGTGTGTTTTAGTGTTGTATCCTTGATTTTTTTTTTCTTTTTTCTTTTTGCAACCTTGATTTTTACAGGGGACTCAATCCTTGCTTATAGGACGCCAGTTGAGTATATTGTGTATGTATGACATCATTCAGAGTTTCTCCTGAGGCCCCACCAGACTGATTTCCATGAAAAATGAGTACAAGAAACATGCAGCTTTATTCCCTTGAGGACCTAGTATGTTTCTTCTTGTCTAATAATGGGAACTATGCAACTGACCATATCTCCTTTTTTTCTCTCTAACAGAGGACTTAGAGCCAAATGTAACAATGTCTGCAACTAAAAGCCCATGACCTGTGTGTGTATTTGCATCCATTTTTCATCTCTTTTCCTTTATTTTATTTTTCCTTTATTAATTTTTTAGTTGTACTCTCATCAATTACTCTGAGAAAAGAGTCAAAAATTAATGATAATATAAAAAGTAGATGGTAATTTTAAAAATGTTAATTTCCAAAAAAAAGATTGTCTCACTGTAGCATGACTATTGACAACTGCCTAAATCCATATAATTTCAGTTGCATGTATTGTTTCTTTTAAAATATATATTTACACTAAAACAAGTGAAACAAAATCAAAAATACTTTTGTCTTTTTGTTGATTTGAGTTTCCAAAAGTTGGGCAATTCTGCTTCTGAAAAACAAATCAGATCATTTTGAAAATAAGCTAAAGCAAAAACCTGATGTGAAACCAATAAAAAATATCTATATACTATTAGAGATGGACTCTTTCATTTTAAATTGGAAATGAAAAAATAAGTTGTGTTTATTAGCTGTACTTCACTATTTTGCAAATCCTATGACAAAAGAAGACTGTTTATTAAATATCTCTCCTCCCCCAAAATTGTTTTAAGTGTTCAGTCATGGTGATGACCTAATTTTAAATTCTACAGGACAGTTTCCCTCTATTGTCACTGAATTCTTTTCTGTACCATCATTCTCTCACTTCAGAAAATTTATTTTTTCCAATAAAAGAACAGAGATCAGGGTCCCTGGTAGTAAAGGACATCAAACATACACAATAAAATGGGAGTATTAGAAGCAAGATGAGAGTCTGTTTATCATAAACATCTCGACTTCGAAGAACCTAAAGCTACTTCCAAGAATGAACACGACCCTTTAGATTTGACAATTTTTACAGGTGGTATAAAATGGGGCAGCTGGTTGAGAGCCAAATTTCTGGGAGGAAGGAAGCAGGACAGACCATGAAGGAAGACAAGGAAAGAAGGGCTTGGGAGAAATTCTGCATTGATTGAAAACAAACTAATAAACAAGCTGTTTTTCATCATCCTCTGGACATACATCGGTGCCCATATGATAGCAATATTTTCTCTTTGGTAATGGATTGTCCTCTTTTGCCCCTTTAGAAGTTAAGGACTTTATTAAAATCTTATTAAAATCTTGAGTCAAACATAGAGGAATAGACTCCTGTGGTGGAAGTGATTCATGGTTTGGTTGAAAGAACTTCTGAAAGGAAGAGTGAACAAGAAACATGTGAGACTCTTGTAGGAATTGTTTCAAACAGTCCATAGATATTTAACTTAATTTCTTGTTCATTATCCAGATTAGATCTATCAGACCTAATTTTTCTTCCTTTCTCCATTTTTGGGGAGTTTGATCTTACTTAACACAATGACTTCATAGCTATTTCCAAGCACCCCTTCTATGAGATCAATATTCATAAATCAAAACTTTAGGTATAACTTGGACAATCTATTTTGTTACCAAATGGATGAGAACCCACTATCTCTTCCAATATTGCTGTCCAATAGCCAATTTAATCTCTCTAGCATGGAAGAGGTACAGCCAGGTTCCCAGAGGTGGGGATATTATCTTTGTCATAGCTGCAAAAGAGCAAGTTGAGATTGGATCATGAACTATTATTACAAGTCACCAAGTTCCTGTGTCAGTAATGAGAGAATCATAGAATCCCCATTAAATAACTATGAAGGTAAGCACCGAGTCCCTGAGAATGGAGTACATTTCATAGGAAACTGATAACCAGATCCTCCCACACCCAAGCAATTAAAATAAAATAACCTCCTCCCTGCTTCCCAATCTACAATACTCCTACCCTCAATCAATCTGAAGTTTAAAAAGTGCTTCCGTAAATTCTGGCTACGTAGTTTTGAATGTCCTCTCCCAAAATATGGGAGTTTGTGGAACTAAAACAGTGATTCTCATATAGAAATATACAGAATAACCACAAAACAAACTCACACTATTTCTCTCCAACAGAGTCTAAGCCTGGAGTCAATGCATACAAAAAAAAAAAAAAACCAAATACTGGACATGGTACATATTTTTAATTTGTGAAGCATCATTTTAGCAATAGATGATATTTAATACATTTCTATGAAAACTTCCATTTTCCTTCCTTTCATGAACCTAAGAAAATTTTCACATGAAAAACACACTTATCCCATTCTTTGAATAGTAGACATGATGAAGCTGGGAACAAAAGCCTATATCTTTGAGTCGTGTATACTGTCTTTCTTGATATATGAAGGGTAAGAATAGACGAAGAAGAAGAAGAAGAAGAAGGAGGAGGAGGAGGAGGAGGAGGAG